CCCCCCAGGCCCCGCCACACCCCCTTCCCGCCTGGCTCCTCTCCAGTCCTCTGGATTCTGACGCTACCCCCTTGCCGTCCCCTTTCTTCTGGCCTCTGGAGGCCTCAGGGGTTGTGGGAGGCGGACAGCCTGGGCTGCCAGGGCCCCATCCTTTAGAGAGACAGAATGGGCTTTAGAGTAAGATACAGATGCCATCTCTGGCTCTTCCACTTTTTCACTTGTGACTTTGGGAAACTTTCTTAACTTCTCTGAGTTTTACGGTAAAATGGAGATACTAGTGCCCTTTTGATAATTAAATGATATACAGTGACCGAGGGCCTGGCATTGCTTGGCCCCCAGGAAGCCCTGGATGAGGGGCGTTCGCAGCCCCTCTTGGTGGTTGCACAGGTACAGCCTGTGTCTGGGGGAGCTTCCATGGATTGTGCAGAGCTCAGAGTGGGGCACCGCTTTGCACCGAGTTCAGAAAGGCCATCTTCAGTGGGAGGGCAGGAGAAAGCGGGAGAACCCTGCCCCCTGCTGGTGGCCGGCAGCAACTGGCTCTTGGGGCTTCGGCCAGGTGAGGCCCCAGAAAATCCAATCATAGATGGGCCTGGGTTTAAGTTGTGCAGGCTGTGGATTTTGGGAAAGAGGCCACTCCAGATCCTGCCTCTTAAAGTCGGGACTCACCTAAGGCAGTCAGCATCTGTCTGGTGGCAGATTTGGGGCAGGCAGCCCGAGTCCCTCTGTGGGGAAAGCCACAGCAGCCCCAAGTGTCTTCTCAGGTAGCTAGATGCTGTGGGCCTTCTCGGGGCCCCAAGGGCAGGAAGAAACTCAGGGAGACAGGTGGGGGGCTGCCCGGGGTGGCACCACTATTGGGAAAGGCCTCTACAGCCCCTCTGACCTGGGGCAGTGGCCTGAGTAGCAGATAGGACAGACCTGCCCTGACGCCATATGACGTCCCCCCACTGGCAGAGCGAAGATGGCACCTACACGGGTTTCATCAAAGTGCACTTGAAACTTCGGCGGCCCGTGACAGTGCCTGCTGGGATCCGGCCCCAGTCCATCTATGACGCCATCAAGGAAGTGAACCTGGCGGCCACCACGGACAAGCGGACGTCCTTCTACCTGCCCCTTGATGCCATCAAGCAGCTGCATATCAGCAGCACCACCACGGTCAGTGAGGTCATCCAGGGCCTTCTCAAAAAGTTCATGGTCGTGGACAATCCCCAGAAGTTTGCACTTTTCAAGCGGATACACAAGGACGGGCAAGGTATGAGAGTGGGGCACCCACCAGAAACCACCTTCCCAATTCTGTCTGTGCCCCCACGAACCCACCAGGCGGGGGGGGGAGGNACCCACCAGGCGGGGGGGGGAGGCCCTCTCCGGGCGCCGCAGTGAGGCCCGCCACATGGCTTCAGATCTGCGGAAGGCCACCCACCCGTGCTGGCCCAAGAGTGGGACGGGGAGCTCACTGTGCCCCTCGCTCCATATGTGACTTCAGGAAAACCACACCCGGGCTCCCGCTTCCTAATCTGTGCAAGGAGAACCCACCCCACTGCTCCTAATCTTTTGGGAGGTGACGTGAATGGAAACATGCTTCCAACTCTGAGCAGATACCAAACATGAAAGGTTATTCCCCTGTGTATTCTTGTCAGGTTCATTCCCTTGGGTTGAAAGGATGACTCCGTCCAGTTAGCAGCACCCCCACCTCTGTCCAGCCCCACCCCCTACC